TCTGAGTACATAAAACTAAGTGTCTTCCAATAGCGGTTAACAAACAATGGCCTTGGGCCAAATGGAGGTGTAGCCTATTCTTGTAAATACTGTTTTATTAGCATACAGCTTAACATATTTTCTCTCTGCTCCCCTCCACCAACTGCTGGGCAAGCACTCTACTACTTAAGCAATGCCCCTGCCCTTTTGTTTGTATTTTGTTTTCGAGATAGGGTCTCCATAACTTTGCCAGGACTGGCCTAGAACTACAATCCTACTTCTGGCTTCCTAGTAGATGGGATTACAGACTTGAGCCACCATGCATTTTTCCAAACATATTTTCTATGGTTCTCTTCTTATCTATTATCATGCTGCAATCTGGACAACATAGTGAGACCCTGTCTCAAGAAAATAAAAACTAATAATCTAACAAATTTATGACTAGTCTATGGGTTTACCCTGTAATGAGATACTAGTATGGTCAAAAAGTCAACAAATTCTTTCCTAAAGCATTCAAGTACAAACTCAAAAGCAAATAAACCTTTGCTAATTCATTTCCAAAATGTAATTGCCAATCTTGACTAAAAATTAGACCTTAAAAGCACATAGTGGGCTGGGGGAGTTGCCTAGCAAGCACAAGGCCTTGAGTTCAAATCCCATTCTATCAAAAAAAAAAAAAAAAGCAACAGCAGATAATGGGCTCCGCAGTGTGGTGCCTATAATCAAAGCACTCAGGAGACAGACACTGGAGGATTCAAGTTTGAAGCCAGCCTGAGCTACATAGGCAGCTCAAGGACCCTGTCTCAAAAAATTAAATTAGGAAGGGGGGGCAGGGGGTAGAAATGACCCAAACAATGTATGCACATGTGAATAAATGAATAAAAAAATTTAAATTAAAAATAAAGCTTCAACCACAGAGAATGAAATTCTGTTGTTTGCAGGAAAATATGGAACTGAAGATCATAATGTTAAGCAAAATAAGTCAGGTTTTATATATCTGTGTGTAAATGTGGGACTGTTTCGGGGGGCACAAGCAGGAAGAGGAAAAAGGAAAGAGAATAGTGGGAGGTGAGTAATATGTGGCTATGTATGAAGATGGCATAATGAAATCCACTGAAAACTGCTTTAACAAACGGAGAAAGAGGGACAAGTAAAAGTAGTAACAGAGGGAATTAATCTGATCAAAGTACAATATAGAATCAACAAACTCCTTGTACTTCCACTGTCACTTGTATTTAGTTAAAACTACTACTAGGAACTGTATTATTCCTTTACTCTCTACACTAGCATCCTAGAACTCACACACATCAAGCAGTAAACTAAGTTGCTGTCTTTACAAAAGTTTGTTTTTACCTTTCATGACAGAGAGAGTAAGATGGCAAGTGGAGCATCCAAAATCTCTTCTGGATGTATTTAGCCTCGAACTCTTGGCTAGTCTAAAAACTCTAGCCAGGCATGGGGGCACATGTCTGTTGTTTAGGAGGATCACGTGGGCCCAGGAGATCAAGACCATCCTGGACAGCACAGGGAAACTGTGTCTCAAAAGAAGTAAATAGCCGGGCGCCAGTGGCTCACGCCTGTAATACAACTACTCAGGGGAAGATCAAGAGGATCGAGGTTGGAAGCCAGCCCAGGCAAATAGTTCCGCGAGACCATATCTCGAAAAATACCCATCACGAAAAGGGCTGGCGGAGTGGGTCAAGATGAAGGCCCTGAGCCCAAAAAAATAAATAGGGCTGGTGTTCTGGCTCAAGTGGTAGAGCCTCTGCCTAGCAAGCGCGAGACCTGAATTCAAACCCCAGATCTACCAAAAAAAAAAAAAATTTCAAAGCTGTTATACCGCTTATATAAAAGGATTATACCCAAATAAGTTCTATTGAATATATTTGCCATTCTTAAAATAAGAGTATTATTAAATAAGCAACGCTAATCAACTTTATCAACCAAGGCAACAATGAGATTTGTCTTGAATAAGTACGGCAGATATCAATGAAGCAGTTTCTGTGGTACTGGGGTTAGAACTAGAACGGGGTTTACAATTTTCTACCCCTTGAGCCACGCCTCCAGTCCCAATTTAGCTATCTTCTTTTATAACTGATTATGGCATTGTTAAGGGATAGTGTTCAGAAAGCATCACAATACTGGTAAGAATAGTAAAATACAAACTAGTATCTTTATTTACTGTAAAAGGTCTATTTAAGAACTTAAACTGGCTGCCGGGCGCCCGTGGCTCACGCCTCCAATCCCTAGCTACTCAGAAGACAGAGATCAGGAGGACTGTGGTTAAAAGTCAACCCATGCAAATAGTTCCTGAGACCCTATCTGGAAAAAAAACCATCACAAAAAAGACCTGGTGGAGTGGTTCAAACTCGAGACTCTGAGTTCAAACTCCAGTGCTGCCAAAAAAAAAAAGGGAACTAAAACTGAGACCAAAGGAACTGCATTTCAAGGTCAGCCTGTGCTGGGATTATACATCTCTTTTTTTGGGGGGGATGAGTTTTGAACTCAGGGCTTCCAGCTTGCTAAGCAGGTGCTCTACAGCTTGAGCCTCATTGCCAATCCATTTTGCTCTGCTTATTTTGGAAATGGGATTCTTGCAAATTATTTATACAGGTTGTCTCCAACCGAGATCTTTCTAATGTCAGCCTCGCAAGTACCTACATGTGAACCTGGCTATACACAGCATTCGTAACAAAACTGTGAGTCAATCGTACAAAACTACTACAAAAATCAGTAAATTATTTCTTTACCAATTGTTCTTTTTCTCTAGGTGACAAAGAAGATAATGTGAATTCTTAAATTGACTTTTTTTTTTGGTGGTATTGGAGTTTGAACTCAGGGCCTACACCTCGAGCCACTCCATCAGCCCTTTTGTGTTTGGGTATTTTCAAGACAAGGTCTTGGGAACTATTTGCTCTGGCTGACTTCGAACCTCATCTTCCTGATCTCTGCCTCCTGAGTAGCTGGGATTGATTACAGGCCTGAGTCACCAGTGCCCGGCTACTCAGCTCTTTGATAACCCCTGCCTGACATAAGTAAGGTATGTTCCTATTTCAAAATGCTCAACTAAAGACGCATCAATAACCTGGTACCCTTGATACCAATGTAGTCACAGGTTTAAGCTCATGTTAACCTACACTTCAATTATGCATTTAACAAGGCCAACACAATGCCAAAATAATCACGACACATTTAAATGAGTACCTTTTTGATTACATACTCAGTCCATTTTCTCCTTTGGTGTATCTCTTTGCTATTGTGAATTATTAATGAAAACTAAAAAAGGGTTGGAGGTGTGGCTCAAGAGGTAAGACACCTAGCAAGCTCCAGGCACTGAGTTCAAACCCCAGAACCACCAAAAAAGCAAAAACCTATAGTAGGTATTTAAAAGTACAATCAAGTGACAACGTGTTTACCACAAACCATAAGATTTACATGGAGGCCTTATATTTTGATTTTTCAACAGTTAGACCCTGATCATCTTTCTCATCTGCATGGTATTTCACACGACAAAGTCCTAAAGAACCTTCAAACCTAAGTAATATTCTCAAGGCTTGGTTTTCCCATGTAGCTGATTCATGTGAGCTACCAATTTCTGTGAGCAAGAGGGGCAAATTACTAGGAAGACCAGAATCCTCAGAAGGCATCCTGATGGAAACCCCACCCAGTTCTCAACTTTCTCGCTTTTAGACTCTTGGTTTTCTCTTTGCAAAATCCCCCAAAAAACAGAACTTCCCCGTCAGTGCCTGCCTCTCTGTGAGGCCTGGTACAGAAATTCAGACCGCTCGTTTTCCAAGTACCTCTTTAAGGTAGTCTTAAGGCTCAAGCCCGCTCACAAACAGCAGAACGGTTTACTTTCTTGGGTTAAAGGAGGGCGATTACAGGGTTTGGCGGCCGGGTTTGTCAGGAAGCGTAGGGCCGAGCGAGAGGGAGAATCCAGAGACTGAGCTCCATCTAGTCCCAGGAACCACCCCCAAGGGAGGCTTGACTGCCCTCGGTACTTCGGTACTTCCCTGCCTCCTCTGCTCGTGGGAGGAGAGCGGTAGGTCTGGGTCAGGTTCCCCAGAGCTACTTCCTGGTCCGGCCAGACTCGCCTTCAGACACCCGAAACGCCCCCGGCCCGGCTCCCTTGCCCTTTGCCCAGTCTCCTCCCCTCTCAGTGACCCACCACCACTGGTCCCCTCCCATCTAACATGGCCGCCCCACCCGGCCCACCCCCGGTACAGCCTAACTTTAGGAGGCCCGCGGGACTGCCTCCCCTGCGCCCATTGGTTAGACAGCCTCCATCCGCCTTCCTCATTGGACAACAGAGTCAGTCACTCAGCTCCGAGGGCTCCGCCTCCGAGCCGCTTCAAGCTGCTTTGAGAAGACATATAAACAAATCCCGAGAGGGAGGCCCCTCTTGCCTCTGGGGCGGGGACGGAAGGGGGAGCGGCTACTCCCTAGACGCCCCTGCCCAAGGCCCTCACCCCAGCCCGCGCCTCCCGGTCTGCCGCCAGACGGACTCCAACCTCCGCGGCCGCGGCCCTTCCTCACACGCCCCTCTCTCTCCTCCTCCCCCGCCAGCCTCGCCTCCCCTCCCCTTTCGGCCCCTCCCACCCGCTCGCTTCTCTGACAGGCCGGTTGCCGGCAGTCGCAGCCCCGGGATCCGAGGCAGCAGGGAAGGGCCGGACCGCTTGGCAAGGCGGACACCCGGCGCTGCCCACCGCCGGCCTAGACTGCCGCCCGCCCACCGGTCCCATCTACCACCTCCCCGCGCTTTTATATAACCGTCCCGGGCCGGGGAGGGGGGGAGGGGAGTGGAGCCCCCGTGGCCGGCAGGGGGCAGCCACTGCCCGTGCTCCGCGCGGGCCGTGCTCCGCGCGCCTTCTTACTCGGTCCTGATCCCGGCCCCGCGCCGGCCCGGCCCAGAGCCCTGGTGCTTCTGCCTCCTAGGCCAGTTAGCCCTCCTCCGTCCCCCGCCCAGCTGGTCCCCCAGCCCAGGCCCTTGCTAGCTCCGGGCAATGCGCAGGGTCGCTTACCTGTGGATGTGGGGGCGGCTCAAGGACTGGGTCCGGTTCCGCTGCAGGGGCCGCGGCCCCTCTCCATGCTGTCTCGGGTTTGTTTTGTTTATGTCCTTCCTGACGGGTTCCCGGAAATCGCGTGACTCGCCCCCCTCACGTGGGCCGCGGCGAGGAGGAGGAGGGAGGCGGGGGCCCGCCGGTCTCGGGCCAATCGCGAGGAGCTCTGCAGCTCGGCCAATCAGGGGCTCGACCCTACAAGGCACCCCTGTCACGTGACGCCGGAGGGGCGGGTTGCCGGGGAAAACCAGGAAGAGAGGCGCGGCAGGTGCTTGGTGTCGGCTGCTGCAGTAGGGGAGTGGGCTGTGTCTGATGTGCAGCCACACTCTCACTTTTGTAGAGATGTTCCTTTTTCAAAACCTTCATATCCAGCGTTTTAGCTAATCTCAAAACTACGTAGCGAGGCTTGAAATGTCCGTGTGCCCATTTTACACTTCAACTTCTCCGACACTTGAGGGAACTCAAGGGGGACTCTGTCGACGTTCTGTTTTTATGAATGGTATCCCTAGTCACTGACTGACCTTGCTGTTAATTTATTCATTCACTGATTCAACTAGTATTTATTGTACCCATCGCCCCAGACAGTGGGATAGACTGCGTTCACCTTTAAGAGAAAGAAGACCTGAACATTACTGCGCACTACTACTAGAAGCAACTAGACCAGACTTCCTAACACGTGGCTCTGAGGTTTTCGTGTGCTAATAACAATGCCCTTTATGGAACGTTTACTATGTGAGGGACTCCTTGTCTCAATTCCCCTACAAGCACATGGCAATGGTAACGCCTATTTTTCAGACTGAGAAAGTAAGGCTTATCGGAGTTATTTCCCTAAGAACAGACAGCTGGTAAATGACTTAGCCAGCAGTGGAACTGGGGTCTATTACTACACTTTGTGCTTCCAAAATGCTGTTTATACTTCTTTAGGACACAGTATTTATCAAATGAGCATCCAACAGAAATTTTAGTAAGCATAGAAAAGGAAAATTGGAGAACAAAAACAATTGGCCAGAATCCTTCAGAATGCCAGTTTTCTCTTAGGAGTAATTACCCTTGAAAATGTGGCTACCTTTGCATAGATCTGGGCAGGTAACAGCAAATGAATGTCAAAATCATGGACTTTGGAATCAAAAAGATATCCATAGATCATACTGTTCAAGAAGGCTGGGACTGGAAATGTCATCTATTTCCCCCTCCCCATGCCTGGCATTACATAATGGCTGAGTAACAACTTGGGTTTCAATCTTTGCTCCACCATGTATGAACCAGTACATATTATTTAACCTCCATGAGGCTCACTTTCCACCTTTATAAATATGGGTTTAACATGAGAAATGGGTGAAACAGTTCATACAAAGCACTTGCCGTAGTGCCTGGTATAGAGTTGGCACATAAAGGGTAGTAGTAGTGTTAGATTGTTTCAAGAGCACCATTCAGAAGATTTACTGTAGACTAAATAGCAAGTAAGAATGACTAAACTTTAGCAGTGTAATTGCCACTAAAATAATACTTTTATACACAAAATAGGTAGGTAAATGGAGATAGCTGATTTAAGAGGAAAGTGAAAGAGATAAACCTCTCCTCTGTATCCCCCACAATACCAAGCACACAGTAGAACTTCAATACCCAAAGAAATGATGAGTATTTTCTCTACTGCCCAGAAAGTGGATTTTCTTTTTTTAAAGTCTTATCACATACCACATTCTAACTTTCCCCATCATCTGCTGTTTAAAATTGAATCCCCAGTGGAAAAACTAGCTTGAGACATTTGGGTGGGCCAGGTTCCCCTGACTTGTTTACATGAGATTGGTGCTTTAATTCCTCCCCCCACTGAATCACTATCCTCTCTCATAGTACTATATTTGGAAAAGCTCCAGCAGATCATTAGCTCAATTGTTACATTACTCTCAGACATAGGCATCTTCATCTCCTCTAAAAAACTGAGGTGGAAAGTAAGCAACCAGGCTCATCTCCTAGCACAAGGCTCTGCTGTTGATGGCACTTCCTGGTCAATTACATTGGATTCCTGCCTTTGCATGTTCCCTTGTCTTGGAAGGGATGGAGTTTTGGCTACTGGAAACCTTTCCATCAAGATCTGTTAATGACTATCTGCTACTCTGAAGTGAATGAAATCACTGGCTCCCAATTGATTTGTCTTTTTCTGGGTTTTATACAGCCAGACTGTGCCTCAAAGTTGGCAGGAAGTTGGGACTTTGGCATTGGCTTGAAGTTCAGGAGGCTCTTCTTATTCTAGCCACAAAGTAGTAACCCACTGGCATTACCACTTCTGAAGTGTTTAACCTTGTTCTTGTGGAAGAATTTATGTACTGGGATAGCATACAGAAAAACTTGTTTCAGTGACGTGTCAGAAAAACATGTTTTGACACAAAGATGCAATGTGGCAAACAAAGCAATAGATACTTAAGACTACTGAATTTTTAAAAATAGTTTATTTTTTAATAGGTAACATACACGGCACAAAATTTTAAAAGTACCCCCCCCCAAAAAAAGAAGAGAAAAGCCAGGTGTGGTGTCACACACTTGGAGTCCCAGCGCCCAAGATGCTGAGAAGGAGAACTGCAAGTTAAAGCCCAGCTGAGACACTGTCTCTCCCCTCTCTCCCAAAAAAGATACAAAAATGTATTCAATGAATATTAAGTCTCTTCCCTACTCATTTTTTCTGGCTACTCATTTCCCCTTCTCAGAGGCAACCACAGTTAGCCCTGCTGGGAATCCTTCCAGAGATGTTCTCTGGATATGCTGATATTCCACCCACTTTAAACGTGGATGCTCAGGAGGCTGATGTAGTAGAAATACTTGAGCCCAGGAGTTCAAGGCCAGCAACATAGCACAATCCCCTTTCAAAAATAAAGGAAAATAAATCTTGATGTGTTGGAAACACTATTTATGGAACCAAGACCCTAATTTGAGTTCTACTACTAATTAGAAGATCCGGGATGAACTCTAGGTAAGCAACTGGACAAAAGGTGAATGTTCTCTTATGATCTTTGTGTTTTAATGGCAAGCCTACACCCCCTAAGAATTAACACTGCAGTCCTGAAAGTTGCAAAGAATCAGGGCAAGTCATGAAGAGGAACTGAAAACTCAGGTGTCACAAAAAGCAAAGCAAAATAAAACAAAACCCTCAGAAATCTTTCAAATCAGTTGCCACAGGTCCCAAATTTCCCTATGACTTGAGCTTAAATCCTCCTTAGAGCAGATTGAGCCCTGTCTGCTAGTTCTGTACATGTCTTTTAAGTGAGTGTCATCTTTTGAGTCTATTTTCTCTTCTGACCCCTTCTGTGGACCTGTGGGATATGTTCAGATTTCACAGTTTAGAAGTGAGATTAATTAACTCAAAGCTGGAAGCTCTCCAGGAAAAGCTGCATCCCTCTGACACGAAACAAGGACTCCTTTCCTGAGGACACTACAATATTGCTGGTTAACTAAGAGACCCTCACTGATGTTGGAACTGGCACCCATCCCTCATTCATCGTGCCTAAAAATACTCTTTGGGGGAAAGAAGAAAAATCAGTTCTTCCCACTAGCTGATTTTTCAATGGTACAGTGTTCTTTATGTGACAGCTCTAAGCCTGTTTCTTACTTCTCCCAGGAAATACCACGTTCGAATCCAAATGCCCTTTTCTACTATATTGCTTATTTATTTACCCTGATTCCTCAGCCCACCCCACTCCCCATACTCAGTATCAGGCCTGGCATGGAACGGAAGCAAGCTTGTAGTTTGAGTGAACTGGTTAAGATTCAAATCCTGCTCACACTCCACAGTTCAAGATCCCTTCTCTTTCATGAAGTCTGTTTCTAGTAGGTCTATTCCCATTCTCTTAATTATTTAATTGGTACTGGGGTTTGAACTTCAGGCCTCACACTTGCTAGGCAGGTACTCTACTACTTGAATCATTCTGCCAGTCCTGTTTTGTATTGGGTATTTTCAAGATAGGGTCTCTCCAACTATTTATGCAGAGCTGGCTTTGAACTCCCATCCTCCTGATCTCTGCCTCCTGAGTAGCTAGGATTACAGGTGTTAGCCACTGGCACCCGGCTATTTCTATTCTGATTCATCTCCTTTCCTCCACTGCCTGCCTGAGCCCTTGCTGTACTTATTGCTTCATTTTATTCATTTCATATGCACCAATGTTATTTCTTCAACAAAGTCAAGTGGGCACACACACTAACATATCCTTGAGTTGTAGAGAATGTAAAATGCTTCATTAGATTATTCAAATCTGTATTGATGATTGGAGGAAGGAAAAGGAGAGAAATGAAGAAACACATTTGTGGAATTCCTACTGTGTATCCTGAAGACACAGTCCTTGCCCCAGGGAATCCCAGAACCTAGTGAAGGAAAGCCAACCATCAACAACAGAATTCATTCCAAGGCAGTCCTAGTGTTGAGGCTGAGAGCAGGACACCCAGGACACTCAGCTCTCAGTACCACTTTCTTGCTAGACTATTTGGGTAAGTTACTAATCTATCTGATTCTTAATTTATGTTCTTTTTGAGAATTAAATGAAGAGGTTGGTGTATAAGAGGTGCCTCCTCCTTTCAGGGAAGCAGGTAACTAGAAACTTCTTAGAAGAGAAACAGTGCAAAAGGGAAAGTTGCCTGGCAGAGAGGAGGCAGGAGGCAATGACTGTCAAAATTGTCTTGTTTCTTCCACTAAAAACTTCTAGAACAACAAATTGTCCCTGTGGTTTGGGTTTTTCTTCAGCGCTGTTAGTATCAGACCACACTCTGTTAGTATCAGAGGCTATAACTGATAGCAAACCAGGAAGCCAGGGAGTGAGGACAATCTAGCATTTGTTGTAGGAAAGACTCCCATAGGACAGGTACAATCAGACCTTCTGTTGGGGAGGCCAGGAGGAGGAGGATAAAAGCAGAAAGTGGAGGGTTGAAGTGATAAGAAGCAGGAAACAAAACCTGTAGCCACGATAACAGTTTGTCCAACTATAAATGAAGACATGCTCTAAAGGACCCAGTGTGGTTCCCAGGAAGCTTTATTTCTCAAGGCAGGAACAGTCTGGAGATGTTTCTAAAGGAAA